GGAAAAGGTATCAGCTTGGTATATGTGGTCATTCCCGTCGTACAACAACCTAAGAAGGATAGCATTAGCTGAGGCCAACAGAGCGACGGATGCTATTTTAATTCTTACATCAGTAAGTTTTCCATAATGATGTACTATCTCCGAAACCCACTTAAAGACATCGCGGGAGTGAGTGTGGCCAGGTAGGACTTTGGTGAGCCTTGCTTACCGACGCGGGGCAGAATGGCAGAGAGTGGGCATATGTAGACAGGATCCTCGCTATGTTGATGTCGCGCACGACTCCTTCGTGAGCTGAGAGCCTTCCATAGCGCAATCATCCAAGATGAACCATGGTTCTAAGTCAATATGCATCGAGTGGAGTTCGGAAGAACTTGCTTGCTCTTTCGACCACGGATGGCACGAGCTGCACCTCCTGGCAAGCACACTATGGTTTACCGTAATCTGGTAGTGGGGAATGAATGCAGCCGACCACCACTCTACACGTATCAAGTAGCCCAATGTCCGGCATTATGCATGGGATAATGATAATCATTCTATCTGCATGCGTGAACGCCACCTCTGTGTCGTCATTCCTGTGTCCCTGTGGTGATGTAGGTGCCGTGCTACCGCACAGACTTGATTTTAGTCCAAGAGACGACGTACCATAGACTGGCTGGTGCTTCAGGATACATCTACACCCACATTAGCGTTCTAGACCACCCAGCAAACAAACCCGCCTCTTAGTATTCTTGCCTCGTTCGACTAATCGCTTCCAACGACGCTCAGACAGCAAGTGTTGTCGTACGGATAGTCCGTGGTAAGCGTGTCCCCCCCTGCGCCTTGCGCGTTTTCGTCATTTAATATACCTGGTATACAACATATAATGGGTGGAGTTCCTTCTCAGAAGCTGCCGCGATAATCTTGACGCCCTTCAATAGCTGTTTTTCGTCTAGACCCTGCGTTGGCATCTGCCCTACTCCATGGCTACTCCGTCCGATGCGCCCTTGGCTAAGGGTAGAAACTCCGACGCCCCCAGTTTTTTGTTCCTCTGCAACGAATGCTATAGAGATGTTGGGCCAGCGGTGTTTGGCCATCGCAAAATTCGGTTCACCCAGGGACCGGAAACTCTGTGCTTCTGCTGCGAAAAGCATCATCAAGTTGGACTATTCGTGAGCATGTCCAAACAATCTGAGGCTAGTTGCGGCTAATACTCCCCTAGGTGCATGAACGTTATTTCGAACAGGCCAAAAGGGACCGAAATATCTTTCTGCAGTTAGAAGAGCAACGCCGCGAACTGGAAAAGCAAATGCTATAAGATAGTATGTTGTCCAGGGGCTTTGAACGTATATACTGACTTGTCAAAGCTTTCAAGGAGGACCAGTAGGTCTCAGCAAGAGTTGTTCCTGTGTGACAACGGACGTCTCCCATGCGTTCTAGAAGCTCTGGGCCTTGTTCATGATGCCATAGACACTTTCAAGACGTGTGCGTCATTCAAATATAACCCGGATTTTCTTTGATATTAGGCGTAGAGCTCTACATAGCAGCCGAACATTTGGAGAAAGAAAAGCACAACATGATTCACTATAGTCCTATAGTTCTCGCCTATTCTTGTCTTTGTTTCTCTAAATCCTGCTCAGGGGCTCAATATCGCTCCCTTGAGTCCGTACACCCCTACATCTACCAAGATTTGGTAGTGGGGCAAGGCGTTTCCCGCCTACTGATTGGACGATTTTATCCAAACCAACTTTGGCTACTTCGATCTTGAGGCGGCGTCAGTACCGGGCCCTGGAACATAAATCAGATATGGCACACCCGACCTGTAGTTGACCCGGTTGTTACTTTTGACGCTTGTTCTTCCGGCCTCCAGGACGTATCGTCCCTTATCGCGAGCGGAGAAGACATATGCAACCCTCCCACGATGGAATCAAGAACCGAGACTCACTACGACTCCGACGTGGAGCTTGATGTGTATGCCCATTTCATTATTTCAGATCCGTTTCTTACCCTCCATAGGTCTCTTGAGTCGCTCGATGATTCGTTTAGAGTTATAATCAGTGACCATGGACGCTACTATTCGTCCCGCTATCGAAGTCGCCATCCTTTCCCCGTCGACCAGGTTTGTGTCCCATCGTCCACCTCCGACTCTACGCTAATCGAAATATGGATAGAGAGAACGAGAACGTCAAAGTAAGTTGGACACCTTTCCTGACGCTTCATTACTGATGTCTTATTGAACGGCAATTTCTTGCATATTGCGAACTGTTTAATTGGAGGTTATGTCCAGTGTCTGCCGGTGCTGCTCGAAAGGTTCTCGACGTGAAAACTGGTGCTGGATGTTGGGCAATCAAATTTGGTATATGTTAAATGATCATGCCTCTATACACATCCTAACTAAAACGATAGCTGAGGAACATCCGTCGTCGTTGGTAAGTTGTCTCCTGATCTCGCACCAATACATCAACTAACCGCGAAGGTTTCTGGGACTGATACTATATACATGCAAGAAGAATGGTATGGACCAAGACGATGGTTTTCGCCAAGGCCAGTCTGACAGTATAAGGATCCCACCTAACTGCGAGTTCTGCATCGATGATCTAGATCAGCCGGACTGGTATTATCCTTTCAGAAACAGTGAATTCATCCATGTTGGTGGACTGGGGGGAGACCGCCAACTGCTGACGTGCATCCTACATGGAGCATACCGGTATGGCCTCACACCACGTATCGCTCATGCTAATCCAGTATCAGGTGCTGCTCACCAAACGGCATGTTGGAAATATGGGACAGCAACGTTCATTTTCAAGACCCTTACGGCGAAACTGGCCTCCACCGTCTCTATAATGACATGAATAAAGCCTTTAGAATGGACGGACGCTCACTTGATCTTCCCCTCCAATACCTCTCGGAAATGGAAAGTCACGGCTTTACCAACGTTGCGGAGCACGTCTATCGTATACCACTCAACACGGCACAGCCGATAACCCAGAAATCGGTTCTGGAGAGCTGGGCAGACGGATTTGAAGCGTACAGCATGGATTTACTGGTTAAGCACCTAAGAAAGCGCCATCTTGAAGTTTTCCTCATCTGTGCTGCGGCGCGTCAAGCCCTGCGGAAAGGGGTGGAAGGCTGGCTCGAAATGTAGGTCACAGCCAAGTATACATTAGACTACTTACTGACATTCACAGCCGTATAACGTCAGGGCGAAAACCAACAGCGCCTCTGTGAAGATTTCATCAATATCTCTTTATGAGTTCAAGAAAGCAAAGGCGATGCACATCAGTTAAGCTCCGATGTGTCCCTATCTTATCCCTGGGAAAGCATCGAGAAAAGCAGTGATGCCCCATTCATAGACTACATGTTGTCAGGAAATGGCCCACAATTGACATCGCATACATGGAAGTCTTATAAACGTACTGAGAACGATAAAGCACAGGGAAGAAACGACGGTAAGTTCTGGTCGGAACTTTCGTCTTTCTTCGGCCTGGGGCCAGCAACAATGGGTACGTTAGAGGCTGATGCTCCGCCAAATGTCTTCGAAACATTCCACATTGCAGCGTGATTTTGTCATGCCCCACTCCTAGGACGAGTCAGTCAGGAAAAATCAAGTCATGGTGATGGACTGCGTAATGAATGCCCTGTAACTCAGCAGCATATCCCTACTTGTATACAGCCTTCCCTGCTGCAGGCTTAATTGTCGTCCTTGCGTTCCCAGAGTGAACTATTACGTCTGTAATGCAAAAGGAGATAAACATGGGCCCTTATCACTCAGATGAGAACCACATACCGGACGAAGAATAGATCTGAGCATGTTTCCTCGACGTCTATGTGGCCGGTTGTTTCCGAAAAGCCTGCGCTCAAAATTCGCTGTTGTCGCGATTAGATAAATATGGTACTTTGCGATAACCGCGCTAGACAAGCCCTGTGTAATTTCTTTTGGCATCGGGAAAGCCATGCTGCAGGTGGTAAGTCATTGAGAGCACTTGAGCCAAGCAGCTTACATACTCTACTTGGAGACTCATGGTTTGAGTTGAAGCGAACAGGCACAGCTGAATACCAAAATCTGTGATCAATGACGAGGGATAATGCGTCCCATATAATATCACTTATAGGATCGACATTGTAGAGATTTATTTTTTCGGCACCCGACAATCTGCTTAACAAGGACCATTGTCAGAGATTCCTGCAAATGTTGCCGCAGAAGACTTTCTAGGGATCGATCTGAAGCTGTGTGAGCTAGAAGGGAATCCGGAGCTTGTAACGTCTTTGTTAAAGGACCACTATCCTGGCACTGACCAAAGAAATAGTAGCCTTAAATGGGAAATATGGGGCAGATCCGTCCATCTTGACTGCACCTGTATTGGGCTAACCAGCAATTACGTCACTAAAGAATTCCCCCATAATCACTGCCGGCCCCGGACGAATACCATGATTCAACTCTATGCTAGTGATGATCAGTATATTGCGTTGGACCAAAGACGCACTTATTACTCACAAATGGTGCGGGCAATTAACGATACTTGACGAGCTACAAAACACGTCGAGATATTTAACCTTCCAGTTTGTTAGCTGGTCGTGTGCCACATCGTGCCATTTTTGAGTCGGAGGTTCGACGGCCAGCGCCTGAAGCGTGAACGCAAGCACCTGACCGATGGCGGTCCGGTGGAGGCGCACTTCATCGTCCGCCTGCACATCCGCCTGCGCATCTTGATTGGGCATACACAAGAGAATACCGAATAATGTGGGATTACCCCGCGGAGTTTTAAAGGAAAACGAACGCCTCCCCGGTGCAGATGTAGCCGTACTGTATCGAATGCCACTGTCAATCATGTATAAGAATATCTGAGCGACCATGGCGACGACGAGGCGAGTTGGCATAAACTCAAGCGTGTCACCTTCCTGGTCAATGACGTCGCGAGCCAAATTCATCGGGTGTAGACCCGCCACCAATTCGGGAATCGTCACTTTGTCCGGCGCTTTGTACTCCACTGCATATACGGGTATTCATCGTTCGTCCGCCACAAGGTGCACGCAGAACCGTTCGGCGCGCCAATCACGTCTTCGCGCAGTGCCATGCCTGCCAGCACGGCCATGCTTGACCTTGAACCATATGGAACTGGAGGCATCGGAGGCTGAGCAAATTATCAACCTGCTGACCTGTTTTTGATGAGCGATCCCTTAGAGTGGGCAAAATATTCAATCCTGACGCGCCTGATGGTTTCGTATGTGTCTCGTAGAATTACCGAAAGCCAGTTGTGCCGGACACGTTGTAGTGACTAGTATTGGTCATTATATACATTATTGACCATATACAAACGAATAGACCATTGATGCGCATGATTATGTATCAAAGGCGAGCGACAAGGCTCACACTTGTAGTAGCATAGGGTAATCGTATATTCAAATGGCAGTACACCCATGTGTTGATCTAGTTGCTTTACGTACTAAGCCCAGATGTCGAAACCCGAGGCCATAATATTCCTTCGGTGCGCAGTTGGCTTCAAATTGATCCCCTGGACAGCTTCCTCCAAAAAACTAGTCCCGGGCCTTCCCGAGCCCCAGCAAATGATGATGGCCCAAGGCAACAACAAGCGACTAGAGAAGCCGACCAGAGGGCGGTGAAAAGACGTTCAGTTTTTGCCCGATGGCCGCTATTAACCGCCGTACTCCGTGTCGGAAGTTGGCAGGCGGTCGAAAATCCCCGGACATTCAAGACACCAGAAAATTAACCAGGCGGGAGCGCATAAACACCCCTCTGTGTCAGGGCGCCATCGCGTCAGGGCATCACCGCGTCTGGTATGGTGGGGTCAACATAGCTTTTGGCTGCGTAGTCAATGATTATCAAATAAACCGTAGCAGCCCATGGCTAGGGATCGAGAGGTGCGACCGTCAGTGTAGGGCTAATCATGTCCAACCGTCTGCGGTGCCAGCCGGCCTGCTTGGTGGTGTTGGCATGGAAGTAGATCATTCGCATGACCTCCAGGGCCGAGAGCATACACCAAGTCGCTGATCCCAGACAGGGTCTCTCCAGTGGAACCCCCATGCCCGCACATTATTTATCATAGACACCTGAGGGCTTTGTGGGGTGAGCTGAAATCCAAGTTTGCGAGGGGACGTTTACGTCTACACCATAATGCGGTCACGCGTTGAAATGAACGTACTAGGGTCATCGGCAGAACCGCAGAGAAAACCACACCTTCTCCTACCGGGGCAAACCCAAATGGTAAATCATGACACCGTATGTCATTGATCAACGGTCAGGTGCACAATGTCCTCGATACGATATTGATACTGTAGTTACGGTTATGGCAACTGGAAGCACAGTATCCCTCTCCTGCTACATATGCATTCATAATAGAGTATCCGAGAAATGGCCTTTGTAAAAGGCCTGGTGGGTGGCCTTTATATAGTGTTCTCCATCACTTGCTTCGAACATCTCATGGACCTTGTGTACCGTTAGTGCACTCAAGAACTCTATTTTGGCATCTCTTCCAAGCGTTTCATCCACCGTGATCGGTCCTATAGTGCATCAACTAGCCACGCGGAACGATACATACTGGCTGTCATTTTGTTGTGGGGAAGAAGAACATGACTCCCCCGATGGCGCATCATTCCCCGACGCCTATTCTGCAGCCCACTCCGCTGTCGGAGCTCACTTCCAGTCTCCTGTCAGATGACGCTGACTCTACATCAAACTCCTCAGCCTCTGTGACGCAGTGCCCATGTTGCGCCTCGCCCGTTATTCCAGATCTAGCCACGTTGGCCGAGACCATTCCAGACCGGGAACTCAATATGTCCACCACGCCTGAAGACCAGTTCCTAAACACACTGAGGATCCAGCCAGGGGCCGACTCCACGGCTGAAGCGGTAGCAATCGTACCCCAAGACTGGCAGGCCACAGGGGACCGGTCGTTAATCAGCTTGCTTTGCCACCGAGCTTTCAACGCCTTCCG